ATGAGCGAACACAGAGGCTTGTGGCAATTTTATAACATATAATACTCTTGCCTGAATCCTTTTATTTCTATTCAGGGCCTGGTCTGAATGTCGTGAGGGGGAGGATGAACTGGTGGCTTTAGTTGTCACGCATTCACTCGGGTGGGTCAGAAGTAAACTGCCTTCTCAGATCCCCAGAGTAGACAAAGGGGATCGAGCTAGAGGGTCACCGTAAGTACCCCCCAGGTGAATGAGACTCGTACAAACTTTCAGCTGACACAGCTGTCTGCCACGAAAAGAAAATTTCAGATAAGAAGGAATTTAATTGTTTCCATTGCCGAAGGCTTGCATTTAAAAGACATGTAAAATTTGAGAATTATTTCTTTTAGTTGGAGTGAACAGCTGAGTTTTCGTTGTAAAATCGGGTTTAAGTCGCGAGAGGGGGGAGGGGAGGTTGGCATGAAGAGTTTGAGACAAGAGGGTTATTTACAGGAAAGGACATCTGAAACTAATTAATTCGTCAGTATAATCAGATGGACGTCAAACTAGACGCAGCAACTACGGACGGCAGACACTCACAGTAACCTCAAAGACTGACCGCAGGAGAGGCGCCTAGCTGTTGTGCGGAGTCTTCAGGACTGACGAGCATAGTGGGGCAGACCGTCACTGAGTGCGAGGGTCGCTTCGCTAGGATGCGGTTTTGTGCACTCAAGGCGGCCATCCGTTGTTCGATTTGCTGACGCACTAGTCCGTATTGAAAGTAAATGGCATTGCGATACTCAGCCTCCTCTTTCTCCAAAATGCGCAGGAAGTTCATCAACTCCGCGGCTGTAAAATCTGACCACTGGCAAAAGAATATATATAGTAAAGACTACTGTAACAAAGGTAGTAAGCATTACTTTGTGAGATAAATTATGACGGCAAAAATAAAACTCGGAGGATGCACTAACGTAAGCTCGATATGAACGGTAATTGGGAAAAGACTAGTGGAGCACCTACCGCGCTCCATCAGTCCTAATTGCAGGAAAAGATCAAGGTCATGCACGAAATCACATACAAACCTCCTGAACCATATCTGACTCACTCGGATCTTACAGGAGTGGGAAGGTCACACTGAGAAGGAGCCACTCTAGGATCTCCCATCACTCCAAAGGAACAAGTGATCCACCCCCAAGTGGGAACCGCTCAAGCCAAAAATGCTAGCGTGCCGTGACAAATCAGCAGTATGGAAACTAAGACCACTCTTCGTTCTCACATTGAATACTTCTGTCAAACCCAAGACAGGCAGACTGATTAACAGCGACGACGGACATAAAGCTTCTGATTAACGCGGTCACACACCCACTAGGTCATTGTACCGATCTGACGGAACAAGTTTTAGAGGCGGAGGGAGAGGGGAATAAAGAAGTTAAGCCTATCATATTGCAAACTCCCTGTCATGCTTGATAAACTGTCACAAGCGCTCGAGATAATCTACATGGACAGTTTGTAGGACTGCAATGTGATCCTAGTAGAATAGGCCAGACTCGAAATTGCGTTTAAATTATGAGTCAAAAAGGATGTGTCGGCCATTTGCACAGTCGGCAAGCCTTCAGCTCAGTCTGCAACCATTCGGTGCGATTTCAAGTGATATCCCGTCCAGTTCCTTTCCAAGACAAGCCAGCTGACTGAATATGTTTCAAGTTCCCATGGTAAGTTATGATAAGGGCATTTTAAAGGTCATACACCGAAATAGGTGTGATTTCTGGAAACAGGGGTTTATTGACGTGAGATTCCGGACTCTCACTACAACCCGTCATTAGATAAGTCGCAGAAAAGGGAATTAGAGGCACAGGATGTAGACCATTTATGGGACGCAGTTGTCAGTCAGTCCCCTGCCTACATTAATTAGCAGTAACCGCATTCATCGCCGGGATCGTACTTGATGCTATGATTGCTATTCGGTTCGTACCCGATTCGTCAGTGGTCATGATTTCATCACCGCTGTTGATGCTTAACGTGACGATTACTCGAGTGAGAATCCGAAACCTGCTGGGAATGCCTGCGTTCCCGCGACGAATCATTGCACAGAAAGACGCTAGCGTGAGCTGCCATGAGAGCGCACATCTGGACCCGGGCTTTCGATCTGTCGTCAGATATGATTGGTCCATGTCTCCGACACCTTCTCACTAAGCGGATCAATAAATTTATGCAGCCTTCTGTGAGAATGACTGGCTACTTTTAAATACAATTTGCTTGTGGCTAATTGCCTTCTCTTCCTCTCCCTTCGCGCTCGCTTTGGAAAAAAACAGTCGGGCAAGCCCACAGTTCGTGTTTATTAAAAGTTCCAGGCGTGGGTCATAACAAAACGTCAGGTCAGTAAACTTGTTTTTAGCGATCGCATTTTCTTCTTCTGAACTGCTTCCCGGACCTAGCCTACTGGCTTCTATCGGTAGTCATACGCCGATCTGTCGATGTGGACCTCAGTTACCAATCTAGACTCCCCCCCCCAACATGTCCTGATCTTAAATTATCACTCAAAAACCGTGTCACTGCCTCCTCGAGTAAAAAATGGCAAGGCAGATAAAGAGATCGAATAGAAATTGACTGCAGAACAGGCCAGAAAACGCAGTCACAGCCACCATCACAGGCAAGACCGCGGGAGCGTGCGCAACCTTGTTGTGGACGAAGTTGGCGGCCAAAAGCGCGCAGGCCTTAATTAATAGATGGAAGACAAAAAGGAGACGAGGAAAAGAGGGAGCGCTGGGGGGGGGTATCGGTACCGAGCAGAAGCGGAATGAATTAGGGGAGATAGCTGGACACGCGAAGGGATTTATGCGACAGACAGAAATGCGTAGATCGTAGTTGCTGGGTGAAGCGCTTAATCCACTGCCTGTCTGCCTGCCTTCAGCCTTCTCAAAAAACGTAAAGATAGGTAAGAGACAAGCCGTATAGACCGTATGAGGATGCAGATAGAAAGAAAGACGGTAGCACTGATAACTGGTGCGAGCGAGGGGAGGGATTAAATTTAAACCAAGACTGGTGAATTCTTTACTGACCACGGTAGGCTGACTGAAAGTGACCTACGACGAGGGTTCCAGTAAACGACACCTGATGGCTAGCGTGGGCGGACGTACCTAGCATAGCGAGGTGATTAGACTTCTCATTGGAATCCTCGGCTTTAGAGTACAGAAGATTACATTACTAAGGTTGCAATAGTGTAAGACTAAACAGTATTGTGATAGGCGAACTTCCGATCGAGGATCATCCGATTTCATAGAAGAATCAGCAAATTATTTTAATTACTGGTTCGGGTGATTACATTACAAGAGCAACAATTTGACATTACAACAGTACCTATCGTGCGACCCGTAGTATAGCAGTGGTCCATGCAGACATGGGCCTATACGGACCTCTGTCTTCCACACTCCGGTCGCCTGCAACACAGTTTTTTGCCTACCAGACGGCATGTCGCTTCGAAAGAGTACTTGTGCCGCCGTGAAATAAAAGGCAGCATCGACGCCTTAACTTGCATATCCGCCGGCGCCCAAGGTAGGACAGGGATGCACTTTAAGAATATAACATTGGGCGATCCAGCCAGACAACTAATCACTTCACTTTTCTAGCCATGCGTGTGCATGAGGAATCACGGCTGGATGGGCGTTCCTCACATTTCCTCCGCTGGAAACACGTCCTGGCAAATCTTCTCCCCAGTCGAAGTTAGGTAAGTTGCAATGTGAGAGCGCCTTAACAAAAAATCCAGGACAGAATTGAGCGGCATGCCGTTATATGATGTAAATTGTTGCACAGTTATGGTCCACTTCTCATCATCCGTTTAAAAAAGCCCAGCTCCGAGGTGTCTAAAAAGGAATGCGGGTGTTTATTCACCCGTGCCGTGCTATCAGAGGATGCAGAGGAATGTGGGTTGCGGCATACCAACTGTGTTGGAAAAAACTGCGAATCCTGTTGTGCGCAGCCTAACAATGCCGTCGTTATCCAGTGACTAGTCACGTCTGCCTTGCCGCAAGGCGAGTTAGCTAACGCCTTTGGAA